GAACTAAAAAGCCTCTTGATGAAAGTGAAAGAGAAGAGTGAAAAAGTTGGCTTAAAGCTTAACATTCAGAAAACTAAGATCATGGCATCTGGTCCCATCACCTCATGGGAAATAGATGGGGAGACAGTGGAAACAGTGTCAGACTTTATTTTTGGGGGCTCCAAAATCACTGCAGATGGTGACTGCAGCCAAGAAATTAAAAGACGCTTACTCCTTGGAAGGAAAGTTATGACCAACCTAGATAGCATATTAAAAAGCAGAGACATTACTTTGCCAACAAAGGTCTGTCTGGTCAAGGCTATGGTTTTTCCAGTGGTAATGTATGGATGTAAGAGTTGGACTGTGAAAAGAGCTGAGCACCGAAGAATTGATGCTTTTGAACTGTGGTGTTGGAGAAGACTCTTGAGAGTCCCTTGGACTGCAAGGAGATCCAACCAGTCCATCCTAAAGATCAGTCCTGGGTGTTCACTGGAAGGACTGATGTTGAAGCTGAAACTCCAGTACTTTGGCCACCAGATGCTAAGAGCTGACTCATTTGAAAAGATCTTGATGGTGAGAAAGATTGAGGGTAGGAGGAGAAGGGGATGACAGAGGATGAGACGCCTGTATGGTATCACCGACTCAGTGGACACTGGTTTGGGTGAACTGCGGGAGTTGGTGATGCACATGGAGGCCTGGCGAGCTGCAGTTCATGGGGTCGCAGAGTCGGACACGACTGAGCAACTGGACTGAACTGAAGTGACATTCCTATACTAGTAAAACAGAGAATGCAAACACAAAAACAAAACAGAACTCTAACATCAATAAAATATCACAGTGGAATAGCTACTGGCCTGGGCTAAATTTTCTTACAGAGTTCAATGGCCACAAGGCATTCAGTCAAGGATAGCACTTAGTCTAAATTTAGCTCATTTAAAGATCTGGTCTACGGGTTTGGCTTTAGCCTAACATGTCTCAGAACCTTATGATATGTTTCACATTAAGAGTCAGACAAAAAAAGTAAGCTTTTCAACTCAGGATAAAATATAAGCACTATTTTAGCATATAAAATATCTAAGAACATAAAATCTTTGATTTGAGTTCATAAAGTACCATATAAAAAGATTTTTTTTCTACCATCTATAGAGCTTTTTGCCTTTCTGTTCAACAGACTCTCTCACTAGACAATTAAAATTAATAACTCAGTACCTTGATATAAAGAACTTCAATGTAAATCTTGACTGCTTGATTATAAAACAATTAAAAGTTTATTAAATTTGAATATTAAAATATTTTCAGATGACTCATCAAAATATTATTGCTGTCCAGTCATTCAGTGATGTCCAACTCTTTGCTACCCCATGGAAGGAAGCATGCCAGCCCTCCGTGTCCATCACCAACTCCCGGAGTTTACCCAGACTCATGTCCATTGAGTCAGTGATGCCATCCAACCATCTCATCCTCTGTTGTCCCCTTCTCCTCCTGCCTTCAATCTTTCCCAGCATCAGGTCTTTTCAAATGAGTC